TCTAAGATTCTCTTTTATATATATATATATATATATATATATATATATATATGATATCAAAACATGAATTCTTGAAACTGAGTACAATAATTTACCTACTATATGTGTATATGTTCAATATAACTGGAGACAATTGATCTTAGGCATATAAAATATGCCTAAGTTGTCAGTCTTTGCCCATGAATTGATTAGATTAAAGAATGATCTTTAGTTATTAGCTTGATTTTTTTGGTGTAACTTCTAATGATTGTACACTTACACACATGATTAGTTGTTTCAGGAACTCTCAAGGAAATTGGAGTCAACTTGAAGAAAAGAGATGCAAGAGAGCATGAAAAGCGGCTAAGGAAAAAGGCCCCAGGGCCAGGCGCACTGCTATGCGCAAGGCGCCAGGGGCCAACATTCAGAGCCCTCTCTCAGGCGTGCTAAGAGGCGCGAGGCGCCAAGGGCCAAAGTTCTGATGCGCCTGATTGGCGCTCTGCAAGGCACGACGCGCCAAGCCTCAACATTCAGAGGCGTTTTCCTGGCGCTCTATTAGGAACACCGTTCCACAGTGGGAAGTACTGAACTGATTTCTAGGAGTGATGGGAGGCCCGACACACCAGTGGGACCCCGACTTTTCCAGCTTAAAAGTGTTAAAAAAGGATTCCTAATTGAAATAGACTTTGGCTTTAATTTTCCTATTATTATAAATAGACCCTTAGGGCTCCATTGTTAGGGTTCGACTTTTATTGGGTGTGCAAGAGCAAGCATCCACGTTTGTAATAGGTTTCGATCTTCTAAACTCTTCTATTTTCTGGAAATCGCATAAACAACTGTATTTTTGTGGTTTTCTAATAGCATGAGTGGCTAAACACCTTAGTTCTGGGGTTGTAGCTACGAATGGATTGTTGATTATTAAAGGCTTGTTGAATTAATTTTTGGTTGTCATTATAAGTTACTTCTATATTCTTATTTTAGTATTTTATGATTGATCACCATAAGATAAATATATTGTCTAAACTTAAATCGGGAGAGGAGAGGTTAGATAGAACATAGAATATAGAGAGCTTGATCGACCCATTAAGTTGAGCTGATTTGTGTTCAGGAGTGACGCCAAGACGAACAACTCGCTTGGTTACGAAATAGGATGAAATATAAATGCTCGTCAGTTAGTCTATTTATCCCTGCTCAATGAAGTAGTTAGATAGCTAACTGGGGTAGGCAACTAGAGGTGTGAATCTGACTCATACAATTAACCTTGTAAATCAATAACTTGACGACTAAAATTAGTTCTAACCCAATAAAATGATACATGAGATTCATTGCATGCTGCAGCCCTGGAATTATCTTTTACTTGCTTGAAACATCATCTTAAAGTCGTTCACATTTAGTTGCGTTTATTTAGTTCATAATTAGTAGTAGTTAACAATCATCACCATCTCTGAAACGGTTACTTCTATTTTATTTATGGAGTTGAGTGTTGGATATAAGTTAATCATAAGTCCTTTGGGAACGATAACTCGTTTCTTTAAGAATTTATATTACTTGAGCGACCACGTACACTTGCGTGTATATTGGGGAGCAACAACAATAATTTTGCAGAAACATAAACAACAAAGTTTAAAACAGGTACTCAAAAACAACAATTATATCATAAGCATAAATTAATTATTGTAAAAAAAAATACCAGGATATGTAAAAATAGAATGAAATAGAAAGGAAAAAACCAAGTCCACTGAATGCACAGTGTCCCCTTAAGAAAATTATTCCTTTCTAATACCTGAGGTTTAGAGAATTAGACCCTCTCAGGATAGAATGATTTTATTCACCAATGTATTGATACAAAAACAATGGTGTCAGTAAGCCACTCAACAGGAGCAAAGTACACGAATATTTAATTGTGCAGAAGAAGAAGAAGAAGTTCTGAATTTTCGTTGTTTTAAAATGAGAGGAAATCCCTCTATTTATAGACAACAAAGGGTAGTGTGAACTAAGTCTGGCAACGGAACCGGGAGGTGCCGGTTTCGATTCCGGTCCGTCCCGGTCCGTTACCTGTTCCGTCTCGGTTTCGGCTTGTACCGGTTTGGTCCGGACAGTAGCGGGTCCGGGAGGGGTAATGGGACGAAAATCGGGATTTACCGGTTAGTCCCGGTTCTGGTCCCGATCCATCCTGGTCCGGTCCGATTTTTTTAAAAAAAAAAATCTTAAATTTAATTAATATAGCTATTGAGAGTCGTTGGACAACGGGTTTTGGGCCCCACCAAAGGCTCTTTCACCCCCCATAACTCCCCTTTACACCTCCCTACCACCCAAACTTTTTTTAATACCCCAACCTTCTAAAAACTACATTTTCATCCTTTTTTAAAACTATAAATAGCCCCAATCTTTCACTCTTTTCACTCACAAAAATATTATCTTCTACTCTCTCTACTCTCTAATCTCTTATTCTCGTTAAAATTACGAATTTGGTCTTTGGAAATTGGAGCTTCAAAATTCAACTTTCAATTTTCGGCTTTCGGTCATACACGTCTACTTTTTTAAGTAGACGTTTGGTACATTCGTTCCAACTCACTTTTCATTTAGTTATTTATTTGTTTGCATTTAATTATTTATTTTGTGAGCAATTAGTCTCTAGTCTCTACTGATTTAGCTATTTATTTGTTTAAAACTTTGAATTACATTTTCGTATTATATATAATTTACTCACTTTTTATATTTGAATATGGATTTCGGTAAAAATATTATTGAAAAGGGTAAAACAACCACAGTTAATTCGTTCACTAATTTATCTACCTCAAAATCCAAGAAAAATAAAAAAACCGGTAGTACTTCTAAATCTAAAACTAAAAAAACTTCTCAATTAAGAATAAATATGGATGATTATACGCATGTTGATGAAACTGTTTTTAATATTGATAGTAATAGTGGATTAGATCCTTATCATGAACATTTACAAAGAAGGTTTGGTAATTTTGATGAGGAATTACCTGAAGATGATGAACATGATAATGTTAATGATTATATTGATAGTTTTGATAATAATGTTGATGAAACTCGACCAGCTACGGCTACTCCCAATCCCTCTTCCCCTCCCACTCCATTTCGTTGTCCTGCTCCCGTTCCCCCCGTGCATCCTAGGACTAAGGTAGAACGCGCTAAAAAATCAGTTGTGTGGCAATTTATGACTCAGAATGAAGATAAAACACAAGCTATTTGTAATAAATGTAAACATAGAATGA